TTTAAATTTTTTAATTTTTTAATTTTTTAATTTTTTTAAATTTTTTAATTTTTAAAATTATTATTTATTTTGTTTAGTATAACAACGTTATAGTACGTCGTGTCAAATGACACACCGTTTAAAATGTCTACATTTAAAGTTCACCAATATAATGACGTAAAAACTAAATAAGTCTGTAGACAAGGCTGTTCTAATTTTAGAACAGTTGTCTTTCCTCTCGTTTCTCTCCGCCTTTACTGACCTAGTATGAATTTCGCGCGCGCGCATGTGTGTGTGTGTGTGTGTGTGTGTGTGTGTGTGTACATGTATCTCAAAAAAGCGTATCATGTCAACACCTGGGCACTAAGGCATAGTCAAAAAGGCCTAATTCATTACAGATCTATAGGAAATCCCTCTTTACATGTACTTACGTTAGGGGGAGTAAACTCGTTTGAATCAAAAAATGTATAAATATATAGAGTTATAGAACCTTAAAGTTAACAGATGATGAAAAAAATAAAATAAAAAATTAAAATTAAAATTAAAATCCACCTCACTTAGGTGGTGGAATCTTTTACTATATATCCTTTACTCCAAGCAAATTTACCACCACCTTACCACCACATTACCACCACCTTACCACCACCTTACCACCACCTTACCACCACCTTACCACCACCTTACCACCACCTTACCACCACCTTACCACCACCTTACCACCACCACCTTACCACCACCTTACCACCACCACCTTACCACCACCTTACCACCACCTTACCACCACCTTACCACCACCTTACCACCACCTTACCACCACCTTACCACCACCTTACCACCATCTTACCACCACCTTACCACCACCTTACCACCACCTTACCACCACCACCTTACCACCACCTTACCACCACCCGCAGCCTATTTTGTTTTGAAGAAAGTTCGAGGAGCAAATTTAAAAGTAATATTACAACCCTTTTCGGCGTCAGCGAATCGTCAATATATTAACGATCGTATCATAACACGTTTAACACTTCAAATTATTGGAACTAATTATAAAAGCTTATTTCAAGATGTCTAATGAAGATTGGATACTTGTGGCCAGGAGTAACAATAAAGTGACTGAAATACGAACGATGAATCACACCGGATTTAAATTGGCGATTGTCAGCCAATTCATGAACAAAAACACTTTAAATCTTAGAGAGCTAATAGATGGGACCGATCTTAATTTTCCTACAAATTCTGGTGTTAGTATGAGTCGCGTCTGCTTTGAGCGCCTGTTGAGTTTACAGGATGAAATTTTAAAAGCGTTTGATGAATTGGAAAAACGTTAATAAATAAATAAAATATAAGAAGACTTTTGTTTTAATTTTAGTGTGTGTGTATGTGTGTGTGTGTGTGTAGCGTGATAGAACAAGAAAACCAACAAGGTAATGCAAAAACCCGGGAAGGCGCCTCTAATTACAGCACCAGCTGTTACCTGCTGGTTTATCAGAGCTGACATATCGATCGGGGAAAAATCAATTAAAGTGGTAACATCTGTTCGCACACTTAACGGTGGCTTTGCGGTTAACCACTTAGCTCTTTTCGATTAAACACCATAACCCCTATGGTTTTCGCTTCCGCGAACAACACATAAATCGGTGATGCGTGACCAAATTTAATTAGGTGGGCCATCATACTGATGGTCAGTGGGTGCGATCAATACATTCCCATTAAAAACGGGCAGCGCCGAGAAAACCTCACTAGTAGATCGATAAGTAACAGGTGTTGGACGGCTGGTTAAAGGATGTTATACAAAGAATGTTCTAGTACATGCTAGTGTTAGTCTTTTATTTAAAACATACATACATTCAAATAAAATGAATTTCAAACAAATAATCAAATTACGTAACTCGTTAATAAAAATTACAAAACAAAATAAATAATAATTTTAAAAATTAAAAAATTTAAAAAAATTAAAAAATTAAAAAATTTAAAATCCAATTACGTAACTAGTTAATAATAATAATTAAACTAATTATAAAATTAAATTAAAAATAAACAAAATAAAAATAATTAAAATCAAATTACGTAACTAGTTAATAATAATTAAACTAATTATAAAATAAAATTCAAACTAATTATAAAATAAAAAAAAAAAAAATAAAATTAAAAATAAACAAAATAAAAATAATTAAAAAGTAAACAAATAATCAAATTACGTAACTCGTTAATAAAAATTACACAATATAAACAAAGTAATTAAATTAAACAAAGTAACAATCAAATTAAAATAATTAAAATTTTAAAATTTTAAAAATTTAAAAAAATTTAAAAATTTAAAAAATTAAAATTAAAAAATAAAATTTAAAAAACTTAAAAAAATTAAAATTCAAACTAATTATAAAAATTAATTAAAATTTAAAAATTAAATTCAAACTAATTAAAAAACGCATTAAAATTACGTAACTAGGACAATGATTACGTCACTAGGTCAATGATTACGTCACAAGGTCACCGGTGGTGACCTACTGACCTACTCCCCCACCTGCTCACCCACCCTAGTATTTTACTATATGTCGTTGTTCCTGCGGCTCACCCACCCTCACCCACCTGCTCACCCAGGTGGGTGAGTATTTTACTATATCTCATTGTCCCAGGCTACGCCACCCTCCTGCTCCTCCAACGCCAGTTGGCGTAGTATTTTACTATATGTCTTTGCGCCTGCAGCGCATCCTGCTCCACCACCCTTACCCAGCCTCAGCGCCAGGCTGGGAGTATTATACTATATCTCTTTGCGCCTTCCCCACATCCTGCTCCCGAGTATTTTACTATATGTCTTTGCGCCTTCCCACATCCTGCTCCACCACCCAAATAATAATCAAAAGGGACCTAATATACTACTAAGAATGTTTAAACGTGATTGATTTAATGTTATATTAGGTAGAATAACATCTATAAGTAACATCTCATTTAATTGAAGTCCGAAGGGGTTAATACTCGTTCATTAAAATGTTGAGTGATTTGAGATTCAGTGTTTATGGAAATTTATTATTAAATTATACACGAAATGGATCGGTTTTTGTGTTACATATTATGCGCGCCAACATTTTCTTCTGTAATAAAAATATTTTTTTTTTTTTTTTTTGGCTACGTCCGTTAGGCACTGTACTATCCGGCTGTGTGTACCAAGTCCCCAATGTGAGCAAATATTACCTCATTAAGATGACAGCTGATCAAGTCAAGTTTGGGGCATACATGTACGCCACCAACAACGTCTCTTCCTTTTGTCACCTCTTGGGTATCGCTGATGTTCTAAAACCAGTGACTGACAGAGTAAATGTTATTTGATGATAAATATTTAATTATTGACTAATCACCAATATTTGCTACCATGTTTTAATTGTTAAATGCACAGAAAGCTTAGATATTTAATTTAAAATATTTAAACTTTTCATATTAAAGATCATGTGCGACTGTGTGGTCCAGTCGTATAGCGCTTGACTGCTAACACAAAGGTCTATAGTTCGGACTCTAGGCCTTATAACGTGTCACGTCTTCTCAGCTCTGACTCAATTAAAGACGGCCTGAGCATATGGCTGACCAAACTATACATTTTTATAACGAGGTTAAGAAAAATATTACCTCTACTTCAACTACCCAATGGATGAAAAGGTCTGCAAGCGAAACTTTACTTTTTACTTAGAGTTCTTAGTGTTTCAGTGGTACATTCTTTTTTTTTTTGGTTGTAGAACACCGACATCAGTCTGTTTACTGACTACACCACCAATGGTTGTGTCGATGTGGCTGAACCGACAACCACAAGCAGCACACTGAAAACCACAACCACTCAAAACATCACCACCAGTGGCAGCTCCACTACTACAACGATGAAACCATCTACACAAGACTTTACCACACCCAGTACTTTATCGGGAATTACCGATGAATACACATTCTTTTCTAGTGCGTCTACCCAAGAAAGCATTGAGACAACAGAAAAACCCTTCACTGATACCGAAGTGAAATATCTATTGGACAAAATCCACAAAGCTCTGTATGTAGTAACAACGAACACATCATCCTATAAAAGGACGAAGATCTCACAGCCTGACCCACGTCCATCCGCCATATTCCTGGGCGGGTTCGGCATAGCTATTTTAGCCAGTGCTTTCTCTGTGTTTGTTCTTCATGATGTTGTCCCGTTGATACGTATTATTCTGTCAGCAGTTAAGAGATTCATCGCGCCCAGAAAACCAAATTAGCTATATATATATATATATATATATATATATATATATATATATATATATATATATATATATATATATTTATATATATATACATGTCATGCAATACTGAATTTGTTTACCCACAATGTGTTATACTTTACATAGAAATTATCTTGGAAACTAAATGACAAAACAATTAAAAAACAGTGATTTGACAAAATGTAAAAAAAAAAAAAATTAATAATATGTAATAAAGCACTGATAATGAGGAAATAAATAACTTTCTGTAAATACATAATTATGAACTACTATTTAAATAAAATCATGGGTCACTATTTTATGTATTGAATTCCTTTACTAGAATTTTTTGGGTATTTATAAAGGTGAACAGTTTTAGAGAAAATGGTCGATTAAAATTCGTCGAAATTTCGTTCGGCAGTTTCAACACAGATTAACAGAAAGAGGAAGCAAATTAAATAAAAGCTTCTATAAATAAAGAAGTTGTATACACAAATTTTCATGCACTAAAAAGGGGAAGATAAATGATGTTAAAAATGTATATAATAATACATTACTGTTTAAATAACTAAAAGAAAAGCGCGGGTCACTTCATTATCTATTTATTAACTTTACTAAAATTTTGGAAGCGATCCACGCTTTTCTTTACAGTTATTTAAATAGGAGTGTATTATTATAAATTAAAAAAAAAATTTTTTTCTCCTTTTTACTTCTTTATTATATAAAAGCTTGGTATTAAAACGTTAATCATGCATTTTTTTCAATACTTTAAAATTAGACTAGAATCTATTACGCATCAAATGAACATGAGAAATGCGAAAAAAAAGTATTTTGTATAGGGAATTTTATTTAATTCTTTAAAAGATTAATTATGCATCCAATTAAATCAAATTGAATGTCAGGTCGCAATGTCATCAAGCTTTGCAAAGTTTGAAACGAATCGGTCAGTTCGAAGTGTTCGAAATTACTCTCGCCAGTTTTGTACGACTGCTAGACAGATAGACATTCAGAGGAAGCTTGTATAAAAGCTTGTAAAAAGTTGAATTTGAAAAATGTTAATACCAAGCTTTTATTTAATAATGCACTAAAATGAGAAAATATATGGTTTTCTTTAAATATATAATAATACACAACTATAAAATAGTTGAATCGTTTAATTTTTTTATTTGAATATACTTAAACTATTAAGAGTTTTGCTTATATTTATTTGCTATTGTAATACATACTTACTTTACTAAAATCTTTATTTTTTTATATAATTCATTTTCAAACATTAAAATAAACACTAAAAAAATATAAGTGTTTGAGCCGGCAGAGTGGATAAGTCACTACTGCTGTTCCGACAGTCTTGGGCTCGAGCCTTTCACATAAAACAATCACGTACATAATAATCCTTAATAAGTTGATTATTTTCTTAATAAAGCACAATATGTTCAGAATATATATTAAATATTTAAAAAGTTTTGAGTCATATCATACGTGTAATCAAATTGTTCTAAACAACAGAGATATAATCATCTACAGTATTTGGAGAAGTATCTTGAATATCATCATACAGGTTTTTAGGATTAATTGTTTCCCTGTCTTCATTATAAGCATGTTCCACAGAAGGCTCCGGGTTTTGTTTATCATATACTTATAAATAATCGTGGTCTGCCTCCAAAACTAAAAATAAGACATGGATGTATTAGTTATACGTATCGCAAACTAATATCTCAAACATATGAAGCAACTATTATTTTATTTTACTTAAAATAAATAATTGTATCAAATCAATTTATAAACAACAGAGTGAAAACAAATGAGTTTAAACCTCAGTGTAAAATTTAGTAATCATCTTCATTTCAGTTCGTGTCCAAGACACATAGGGCAGATGAAGTAGAGTTCTTCTGCTTCAGCGACCTCGGCACGTAAAGGTATAGTGTGGACAGAACTATGCCCAGCCGCCTTTGTTTCCCCAATGTAAGTTAGGTACCCAACACAGCTGAGTGGGTTCAGGGACGTTCTACTTATTTTGAAGTTCAAATTTTGAACCCGTATTGGACTTTTAAAAATACTTTTAAATACTTAATTTGAATTACGCTCACATACATGCTGCAAAATTACGTACCCCTGTTTTGGTTTCCCGATTAATTCTGTCGTAAACAATAACACCTTGACACGAAGTCTTGTCTGTAGAATGGAACATTTTAGATTTAGCTTGTAAATTTTTTTGTAAATATAATACTTTTTTTCCATTTAATTTTGTTACAAATAATAACAAGGTTTATGACCAAATCGACGGCTTATATTAATTAGTATACTATTTGAGTGTTGAAATTTTTTGTCCAATGTAATTGCAATAAATGCAATATAGACACACTCTATTTTAATACATTTTAATTATCAACTAAGATGATTACACGAAAAAGGTGCATTGTGGGCTTACCGAAATTGCTGAATACTTTGTCTTACTAAACAACCTATGAAAGAAATATAAAATAAGGCAACAATATTTTCATTATTATATTATACAAAATCATTACTGATACAGCTTATATGATACAGATTCGTTTAATAATGATTCATCAATGCTTACCTTTTTTAAAGATTAAGAAGCCGCAACCAATAAAACAGAACACCCCTAGAGCCATAAAGACTAACATGTATTTTGTATCTTCGTTGGAGTCATTTGTACCTAGAGAGAAATATACTATTACATTTTGATGAAGTAAATATGTTTATACACTAACCCGTTGTATATAGAGTAGTATTAATTCGTCAGTCTATTATACATCTAGCACAGGGATCGGCAACCTTTTGAGACGAAAGAGCCAAAAGTTACAATTTACACAGTTTCCCAGTTTTTAAAGAGCCACTTACATTTTTATTTCAATATTATGATATTTGATTAGGATTATATATATATATATATATATATATATATATATATATATATATATATATATATAAAATTTTAAATAAATAGCTTTCAATATGAAATAATATTTATTCATATAAAAACAACACATGTTTCGCACAAAAAGTATTCATGAATTTAAGCTAGCTCTGCAAGAATGATAAAATCATTAATCAAATTATAATAATATTACAATAGTTTGTCATTGCTTGCCTTTTAAAAGTTTGTTTAAAGCACACCTCTAGATTTTTATTTATTAGTTGGATTCTTTACTTTTTATTATATTCATGCAAGAAAACGCTTGCTCGCATGAATATGTTGATCCGAAGATCGTCAGCACTCCAAATGCCAACTTTTTTACCTCGCTGTAGTATCCTGGAAGACTATTCCATGCGTCACATAATAGTGTCCCAACTTGTGGCATTTCTTTTAGAGCAGTCCACTTGTGCAGCGAAAAGTACATGTTTTACTGGACCTCCAACTCTTCAAACTTGCTCTTGAGATCTGTGAACTCACCACTCCAAAAATGTTTAATTTTAAAATCCAGTAATTGCATTTGAAGCGAGCCAGCATCAATTCCAAATCGCTCAAAGTTAATCTCATTTGATTTTATGTTGAGAGGATCTACTATGAACGTCAGAGTACTTGCATTTGTATAGAATTGTTTAGAATTGCTCAAATCTCTTAGTGAATCCATCCTTCATTTTGTTTAATTTAAATGCTGAAGCAATTCATGTTAATAGTAGCATGAATTTTTTTCAGATGTGTCAATATTAAGTAATTTACCGCTCTCCGTGTCTTCAACAGCACACATTTTTTTTTTAACAATCCACATCTTCAAGCAATTCAAGCAAGCAGTTTTCTTCCAGACTTTTTTCTCCGGGGGGAGGGGGGCAGACTTAAATTTCCGGCGGGGTAGGGGGGGGGGGGGGGGGGGGGGGAAAGGGGGGCACTGTTAAAAGTATATATTTACTCTATAAAATTCCATTTCGTTCGGGGGGGGGGGGGGGGCCGAGGATATGCCTGGAAGAAACTCATATGCTGGGTTTTCCTTTCCTTGCAATTTTACATTTTCACATTTAGCTCGTTTAGTTTCTTTGTGATTTCCACCATGAAGTTGAATGCTTCAATTTGGGATGACCAATTTAATAGAAAGTATATTTAAAAAAAAGGAGTAACTAAATATTCTAATAGAATAACGAGTGTTTATTGTTTACAGTTATCATTATACGTTGAACACCGAGTGTCACAAAAAAAAATTATGAGTTTAAGAAAAATAAATAAGTATCTATATATATAACTCTCTTTATAAATACCCTAGAAAACACCAAGCTGTAAGCGCGCCTAGCAGCCCCCTCTTTCTTCCTCTCTTGGCATATACCTACCTCCCCCACGCCCACATAGTCTTGTGAGCTGTGGTTCACGCTAAATGTTTACAGTCGTAAAGCCGGGTTTTAGTGACGGCTATTAGGGGCAGATAATTTAGTTTGAAACTATTTTAAACTTAGGGGAGGTAACTAAGAGGAAGATGCTTTCACCTACTGATAGTGTTTTAAAGCAAATATCAGTGGCAGCATTGGTACTGTAGAATTCACAAATTATGAATTACTGGAAAGTAGAAAACACAACAACTAAATAGCGGCATATGATACGCCACGGGTCGGCTCGTTATAAATATTTGTGCATGGAGCTTGCGAGCCGCAGGTTGCCGACCCCTGATCTAGCATATTATATATCTAGCATTGAACAATGCAATTTAAAATTGTTTTATAATTTTGCAACAGTTAGATCAGGGGTCGGCAACCTGCGGCTCGCGAGCCGCATGCGGCTCTTTTGATGTCTAGGTGCGGCTCTTCAGTTCCATGCACACATATTAGTAATTATTTTAATTTATTCTTGTAACTCATAAAAATATTAGTCCGCAACACTCGGTAATGAACGATAAAAAATATAATAATAAATATAAACAATAAACACCTGCTATTCTGTTATAATATTTAGTTACTCCCACTTGTAATGTACTATCTTGTTTTCTAAAACTGAGTTATTTAAATGTAAACAATGCTTGTGATTGGATCATATTTATCAGGACGTGCTGTATGAAAGCCTTGAGTGTAAGTAAATCACTCACCGTAATATCACCGTTAATCACTCACCGCCGGAAAGTGGCGCTCTCGCAAACCCGATTACACTATCGCACGGACGTCGCGTAACACCCCTAGCTCGGTTTAATTATCGAATGTCGTGTGCCGGATTATCACTATTGTAGGGTTCACTTTAAAACTAACGTAGACGCGTAGTGCTCGCGAGATAGCCCTGAGCGTCAAATTAAACCCTGCAGAGACGCCGGAGGACGCGCCTGATTCGATTTAGTGGGCGACTATAGCAACTCATTGTATCCAAAACCTACTGCGGATTCCAAGTGCTAAAATAGCCGCTCTGGAACTCATGAAGCGCCAAACCGTGTATTGACAAAAATTGAACCCTCCCGGGCGCTGCCAATAAGAAATATTTTTTTTCGCAGAAATTTTCTCGGGAGTATGCTCATCGACTTTCCAAAGTTTCATGGCATTCGGATGAACGGTGTCGAATCTCATCCGACTTTTATTTTTTATATAACGCGACCTCCCGGGGCGCAGCCCTTGCAAAATTAAAAAATATCTTTTGCAGAACCCCCCCCCCCCCTGAGTGCTCTTATCAACTCACTCAAAGTTTTATGGCGATCGGATGAATGGTGTCAATCTGCAATCGACTTTTATTTTTATAAATCAAATCGCTCCCTGCCGGGGCGCCAATCGTGCGACTTTGACAATTTATTTTCGCAAATATCTCCACAGGACTATTCTCAACAATTTCTTAAAGTTTCATGGCGATCGGATAAAGGATGTAGTAATGAATAAAAGACAAACACACACACACACACATACATACTACATATATCTAATCCTAATTAAGGATCATAATACTGAAATAATAATGTTAGTGGCTCTTTAAAAGTTGGGACCCCAATTTAGTAAATTGTAACTTTTGGCTCTTCCGTCTCAAAAGGTTGCCGACCCCTGAGTTAGACAAATAAAAGTTTGTGTAAGTGAAAATATAGTCATATATTTAAAAAAAAAATTGAAATAAAGTATTATAAAACTCATAGGGTATAAGTTCGGCACACTTGTGCCAAGATTGGGTAAGAACTTAGTAAATTACTTTTGTATAAAACTTTCCAAAATTGCATTATTTACTCTCGTTGATTGTGCGTTTTGTTTTACTTTCTCGTATATACGAAGTATAGAGAAAGTATTGTAATCGTGCAAAAAAATCTCTTGAAATTTGAACAATTTTCACCGTATTACACCTCAGTCCTTCATCACATCCAAAGTATAGAAGACTTATTTTAATCGGGCAAAAATTATCAATCCAGATGTATCAAAAATAAGAGGTTTTATGCGTAATCCATTCTGAAAAACTGGGCTTTGCAATCCTGTCCGTATGTCTGTGTGTGTGTGTGTCTGTGTGTCTGTGTGTGTGTAAACACGATAACTTGAGTACCGTTACAGCTAGGCTGATGAAATTTCATACATAAGTATTTTATCAAAATCGTTGATTCGTATCAACTTTTGAGCAATTTCCAATAACCGGAAGTGGAATTTTTTCTACTTTGAATTTTTCAACAGCTTATAACTTGAGTACTTTTTCAGACAGATAAATGAAATTTCACATGTAAGTAAAAGTTCTAATTTTCTGCCTTCTATAAAATTTTGAGTAATTTCCGTCGACCGTCATATTCCCAAAAAAGGCCCCGGGACTTTTCTTCATAGTTAGCGGTTGTACAGGGCCAACCGGTCTTAATAACACTTTAGTAGGGAACATCAACATTTCGCGACGAAAGAGCTAAAAGTTACAATCTACAAAATTACCCAATTTTTAAAGAGCCACTCACAGTTTTATACACACCGCAGTAGTGGAAAGCATGGAACCATAACCACGGGGCTGGCCACAGCACAGTTGTGAGGCTGGGCCAGAGTTTCTTGCCCCCCCCCCCCCTGAAGAAAGTCTACCACCCCCTCCCTAACAAAATGGAATTTATATCGAAAACATACTTTTACCAGTGGCGCCCCCCCCCTCCCAAAAAAATCAAGTCGTCGTGCCTCCGGACCCCCGGAGAAAAAAGTCTGGAAGAAACATTGGCCTGGGCCTAATGCCCAGCGGCTTTCAGCTGTCCATATATGCTCTACTCTACTCCACCTATTCTTATTGTTTTTTACTTCTAATGTTTACCTGAACCACTTATATTCACAATAAATTTAATTCTAAGTGAAGATTGTAATGGTACATTTTATTTTAAATAATCAAAACTTTGCTGTAAACTCTAAGGTAAAAAAATTGTAAATACAATTTTAATACATAAACTATTTGATATCAAAGTAAAATATATTTAAGCATACAAAGTATTTGTATTATATAGTTACCATTTACCATGCTTTTTGTTTTGCCGTATTGAAATATTTTTACTATTACTTTAGCTTTTTTTTAAAAATTGTTTCGGATATTTCACTTGATTATTTGATTAATTGATACAATAAGCCAATTTGATATTAAATAAAAGATAAGACTTACTTCTTGGTACTAGTAGCGGAAAGTAATTGAAGGTATAATTTTCATATGCATGAGAAGTGCCAAACTTGAGTTTGATTTCTCCATAGTCTTCCTTTGACACATTGGAGATAAGTATCTTCACGTTAAAACGATAAAATTCAACATTGGTCCATGTCACACATAATCTCGATACACATTGACCCTTGTACAGCCAGGTATTTTTGTAATTAACCGTTATAGGCATATTACTGAAGGGTGCGGGAATCAGTACACAAACATCGAACATAACGTCTTCTCTCAGATCAGCTTCCAACACTTTATCGTGAGGTAGACACAGCTTTGGTGGACCTATACGACATAAAGTTTCATGTACACATTTTATTTTTATTGAACAGTAGTGAGTGACAACATTAAGCATTGTTTACAACTTAGACAATTGTATATATTTATACTAGCTAACCGTAACTTGACTTCAATTTTTGTTTTTAATTTTTATTACAGAGCCTTGTTTACACATTTTTGAAACTTTATGTTTATACAAACATTTTTAGTAACCATTAAGCTTTGTACAGTAATAAGGAAGAATCTTTTTTTTCCTTACTATAAGTGTTAATATATTGCTTAAACGAATATATTTCTTTTTGACGAAAATTCCGAAACGGTTTAATTAATTTCTAGACTAATTAAAACATTTCCAGTCAAATATCAATGACCTACGATGTCACATTTTTTAAAAATGTTATTGTTAAAGAAATGGAATCAATGGCTTATCGGATACAATTACTAGAGCAATGGATGATAATAAATGGATTAGTAATAACATTGTAAAAGAATTATTTTGTACATATTAAATCACTTACATCCAAAAACTAACACATACAAGTGTCGAGTCGTATTTGTTTCACACATATAATGTCCCATATCTTTACATGACAGACTTGGGAGGGTGTATGAAACAACGGACGACAATGTACTTCCGTTAACAAGTACTCTATCTTCATGTTGGATGGCAGCCCATGCTGATGTGTTAGCAGAATCGCACACCAGCGTGAGTTCTGTCTTCTCTAGCCAAGTAACATATCTGGGATACTCGGCAAAACTTTCTGTTTTTATGGCTGAAGAAATAAAAATCTTTTAGCGAAGTACAGTTGTTTCATCACCCTCAATAGGGCTGGTAAGTAGGTCACCAACCAGTTCTATGGCTCAAGCAGGTTTTATTGAGCCGTAGAACTGGTTGGTGACCTACTTACCAGCCCCATTTTGATCGTGATGATGCGAATCTTTAAAAAAAAAATCACTGTTCTAACAAAACTATAATTATATAATATATAATTATATACATATTATTTATTTAACACGTTCACTTGATATCTACCATAGTTTCATATTGTTTGGTTACAAATCATCAAAGCATTTAGGTGGCGTACTTTTAGGATATGTTGATATAATAAAATTAGTAATAGCAAATAGTTTATACTTAAAAGCCATTACAATTTACATCTATAAACTTACGATTTTTAAGCTACTCGGGCTAGATTAAACAATTTTAGATTTTCTATTTAAATGATGTAGGAGGAATGATTATATGAAGCCTACGATACGAGTGAATAAGTCTTTTAATAACAGTTTTATTATAACAAATACGTTAGGTACACATTAAATTACTAACATCCCAAAACTGACACCAGTGGCGTAGACAGGGTTGGGGCGGAGGGCGGGGTTAGGTTAGGGTGGTTACAACTCCCCCATGGAACCCTCTGTAAAAAAAAGTTTTATTGTCATAATACCTCTGATACTTATTTAAATCTATTTCTGAATCAGTATATATGTTTAATTGTATATGTATATATAGAACACGCGTCTAAACACTGACTCTATGTTAACTCTGAGTAAGATTCCCCCCCTCCACCTAACCCCCTAAAACGGGACTGGCCTTAATTGAGTAGAGCGACATTAATGTCACACCTAGGTATACATTGGTAGGATACTTGACCTAAAATGACCGGACAGTGGTGGATGAAGTTGAACCCCCCCCCCCCCCTCCAACCCACCCCGAACTGATCAGTTAAGTACATTTGGGAAAACGCGAAATGCGGTACCAAAGTACCATGCCGCCAGAATTATATTTTTTGAAACAGGTAGCCCGGGGACATATGTCTCCCCCACCCCCCCACCCCCCTCGCTAGGCCTCTGCACTGACTGACACAATTATATGTTGCTACACAACGATATTCGCCACAAGTTTTACAAGACAGACTTGGGAAGGTGTATGAGATAATGGACGACAATGTACTTCTGTTAACAAGTTGTTTATCGTCATGTTGAATGGCAGCCCAGCCTGGTGTGGTGGGAAGATCGCGCACAAGCCTCAGTGCTTTATTTACTGGGTAGCCCGTAGATCTAGAACTCGCGGTAACACTTTCTGTTTCCATGGCTGAAGAAAGTCATCACATGAAATTCAATTGTAGGTAAATTTTAAGTTATAACTTAAAGCGTAAAATTTGACACTGCTGATGTATACATAAATAACACCAAATTAATTTTAAAAAAAAATCTATTATTAATCTTATAATAATAGTTACCCCAATGATAATGACGAGTCGATAAACAAGAAAAAAGCATTTGTATTAAATCCAATTAATTTACTACAATGTATAACTATATCTGTAATATATGATATATTTATTTTGTAATTTATTAAACTACTACCTTGTAACATTGAATTGTTGGTGACATAATACACATAGAAGACCAACGTCCATGTTTTGAAGAATAAGTTATTATTTTTGCACATTATCACTACTGAAAAAAAGAAGCAATAAAAATATTAGATAATTACTCTCAATTCGTAAGAAATTTGATGCGCCATCTGAGGGAGAGATGTTTATTTTTTATAAACGCTCTTTCGTGGTTCATCAGGCCAATTCTGGAATGGCAATCTCTGCAACAGCTATTGCAGGTTTTATTTTTTTGTATCATCATGTTACACTCAGCTTTTAATTATTTTTGGCTCGTTCGGGGCCAGGTGTAACACTAATAAAGAACACAATCAACAAAGTAAATTTGTAACATTGAAGTATAATTTCCTCCAACTACAAGAGAAACACTGACACGAAAAAAAAAGAACAACTGACAACTAGATACACTGTGTTGACGCTACCCAAAATACAGCCTTAATTTCAAAGATGGGTCGGCGTGGTCGAGTAGGTAAAGCTCAAGGTTGCTTCCTGAAAGTCTCGCGTTCGAACCCTGGGGCAGATGAGGCTCGTTAGCTGGGGACAGCCACTCTTCTAGGAGAAATAACTCCAAAACCAAACAACTGCTGCCTTGCAGTTTATTCTTGGTTGGACAAAGGCTATGGAAGCAAATCCAAAAAGAAAAGCAGGCTTAAATCGGAGTCAACGGCCTCAATGGCGCACAACCAGTAGACACGTATCCTTAATTGAGTTGAAGGGGGAACCCTTACAACACTAAAATTAAGAACGAAGAAGAAGATTTCAAAGACACCCCAAACGTTTTCAACAATAGGGCGGAGTGCTGTATTTATGTTCAAGACGACGTGATATAGGCTGATTTTTAATTTTATTTTGTAATCATCTTACAACAAGAGCTAAAGAAGCCGATGTGAGTAAAACTTTTGAACGACATCCATCTTTAGTTGGATATGATTTCTGCAGTTTGTAAGTGCGGAGTTCCAGTCATGCTGAGAGTAACAGTGCGTTAGTGGAATCTGTTGTTGAGCAGTTTATTCTACACAGGCATGCGTTAACACCAAAAACGTCATTGACGCGGAAGAAAACTTGAGCCTTTTTTAAAACAAAAAAAAACTACCTTTATGAACACAACGAACAGAAAACGATTACTTCGACAACTTTACCCAACTAAACCACTGTGTAAGATCGAAGTTGTAAATGAAATCAGAGACCTTTCTGTATCTGCGGAACTGAAACACGCGATTGATATTCACTTAGCTGAGCAGGTTTTATTGAGCCGTAGAACTGGTTGGTGACCTACTTACCAGCCCTATAAGATGGTCAAATTCAGAATGGGGTTAGACAGCCTTTCACGTTTATGTTTGAGACAACAGATGTAATGAAAATACCTCGAATAAATCATTGATATTCTGCAGGGACAAGTTCAACAGTAACTCTTCAACACAACATTTTGTATTCAACAAATAGAAAGGTACTCTATTTTTGATAACAAAACACCGGATATTTCCATACAATTTGTTGCAACATATCTTTGCGAGTAGTTTTTTCCAGGGTGATACCATCAAAACAAAGAAATGGAACAGACTGTTTCGGAAATGACACGCGAGTGTCACTTGCCGCACATTTTCAGAACTTGGATCTAAAAGAAAACGGCTAAGTCACACTGATTTAGAGGAAATATTAAATTTTTCAGTCTCTTATAGAGTAAGTATTGTAATCGATTTTGAACAATTTCCGTTAACCGGATATGGTATTTTACTCTATTTTCGTGTAAATAATTTAACGTAAGCACTGTTCCTGGTAGTTATACAAAATTTCATGAATAATTACAAAATCTTGTATTTAAATAACATGAAATTTTTAATTACCCCCATTAACCGGAAGTTGCACTTTACTCTATGTATGTGTTCTAAAATACCAATAACTTGAGTACCGTTTCAGTTATGTGGACGACATTTTAAAATTATGTATTAGATCCTATGTCCTTATTCCTTCATATTTTAAGTGATTTCCGAAGAACGGAACAATTACTTTAAACTACTTCCGATTTTCGAAAACAAATTACTTCTACCGTACCGATTTCTACAAAACTTTTCACGTAGGTCAAGACTCGATGCCAATGCACTGTGACACATAAATAGACTTAATTACATGTTTAATTAATTTAAAAAGTTTAAGTTTGTTTATAAAGTAGGCCTGCTTTTTTTGTTCTAATATACACACATTGTTTACGTTCATTTGGTGCGCATTTACTTTTTCTTATTTTACATCCATTTGTACGTTATTCACTTTTCTACTCTTTATTTGTTTTCTTCTTTTAAAACTTTATTTTGAAAAACTAAATTTTTATGAATGATTAAGTGTTGAGGTGTCCAATATTCTATGACAGGTAATTGGATGTGTTTTGGGTGTCTGTTTCAATGTGTATTATATGTTGTGGTGTGTCGTTTTGGTTGCAGTGCAGTGCTGGGTGAGGTGTGTTGTGTGTTTCAATGTGTTTTGTATGTTGTGATGTGTCGTTTTAGTAGCAGGGCTAGGTGAGGTGTGTTGTGTGTTTAAATGTGTTTTATATGTTGTGGTGTGTTGTTTTAGTAGCAGGGCTGGGTGAGGTGTGTTGTGTGTTTCAGTGTGTTTTATATGTTGTGGTGTGTTGTTTTAGTAGCAGGGCTAGGTGAGGTGTGTTGTGTGTTTAAATGTGTTTTATATGTTGTGGTGTGTTGTTTTAGTAGCAGGGCTGGGTGAGTTGTGTTGAAGTATAGTTCAGGATGTGGGTCGGAGAAGTGTGGAGTTTTATTGGAGGTGTGGCTAATGCTGTCGTGCCGTGTGAGTGTGGAGTGAAGTGGTTTTGTATTTATTTTTATTAACAATTAGCCGTCTCGGACAGGCCCTGCATTGGCCTCTGTGATAAACCTGTTAGTAATGGACCATTACTTGTGTCTTTATTAAGCAGCAAATTTCCTGAATTACCCGTGTTTAGGAAATATGTTACTTTACTAATTAACCATAACCACAACCAACCAAAAACAAAACATAAATACAAAGACAAAGGCAAACATAAAATAAATGCAAACCCAAACACAGACAAAAACAAGGGAAACACAATCACACACGTAAAGCAAACATAAAAGCAAATACAAAAGCAAACGCAAACGCAAACGTAAACATGAACACAAACGCAAACACAAATAGAAACATAAACATAAAAGACAACGCCAATACAAATTCAAACATAAACACAAACCTAACGCAAACACAAACATAAATAAAAAGTCAAACACAAACACAAATATAAACGCAAACAATAAGGCTGAACTAAATTTAGCCCGAACGTTGCATTCCATGTCGACAAAAGCACGAGAACAAGTAATATAAAATTTTGTAATAAAAAAAACATACTTTTTTTTTGTTTTGAGACTTTATTTTTGTCTTCCAAAAAGAAAAAATTAAATTTTAACATCGAATCAAAATAATAGTATGCAGGTCGCGGCTGTGTACAAAGAGAGAAGGGTTAGATTTAGGTTTAGGGATAACGATTGGTGCAAGATGAGTGTGATTTAAATGAACTAGGAATAAAAATACAAAAAGTGCAAGTTTGAGTCAGCACTCAACGAGACTGAACCGCGTGTCCCCCCATTTAGAATGGACAGTCGTCTAGCAGTAGACCGCGCGCTCGCTAACCCGAAAATCACGAGTTCGTATCCTGCGCTCGCGGCTGTAGGTCGCCCCTTGACAGATCTGCCCCTCATATCTAAACCAGGTGCTGCGATGGACTGGGGGAGGAAGAGAAACCCGGCGGAAACCCACGAGTCAAACCGCTAGGAACATGAGTGAGAGAAATGCTCGAAATTTAACCCTGTTCTAGTCTGCCTGGCTAATGAGCTGGGAATGACCGTATGAGAGAAGAATGGACAGTGTTTTATGGGTACAGATGTTGGTCATGTCACGCAAGGTTAAATAAACTAATACATTGGTTGGTAGAGGTCTTAACGCAGATGGCAAATAATGGTTTCACCCTAAAACACGTTAGAAAAACATAATCTAATACTGAACTTAAATAACTTACAATTTGTCGATCAGTAGTACAACCTCTCACACTATGCTGCATCCTTTAAGATTTATTTCTGTGTGAAATTAACAAGGATGTAGAATTCGTAAAGCTTACACGGCTGTCGTCATCTAACAAGTGTTTTTAAGATGTGACAAAAATGTATTTCCGAATATCAGAAGAGGCAATTAGGTTATGTTATGTTATGTTATGTTATGTTATGTTATGTTATGTTATGTTATGTTATGTTATGTTATGTTATGTTATGTTATGTTATGTTATGTTATGTTATGTTATGTTATGTTATGTTATGTTATGTTATGTTATGTTATGTTATGTTATGTTATGTTATGTTATGTTATGTTATGTTATGTTATGTTATGTTATGTTATGTTATGTTATGTTATGTTATGTTATGTTATGTTATGTTATGTTATGTTATGTTATGTTATGTTATGTTATGTTATGTTATGTTATGTTATGTTATGTTATGTTATGTTATGTTATGTTATGTTATGTTATGTTATGTTATGTTATGTTATGTTATGTTATGTTATGTTATGTTATGTTATGTTATGTTATGTTATGTTATGTTATGTTATGTTATGTTATGTTATGTTATGTTATGTTATGTTATGTTATGTTATGTTATGTTATGTTATGTTATGTTATGTTATGTTATGTTATGTTATGTTATGTTATGTTATGTTATGTTATGTTATGTTATGTTGTTATGCCATGCCATGCCATGCCATGCCATGCCATGTCATGTTATGTCATGTCATGTCAGGTCAGGTCAGGTTTGGTCAGGTCAGGTCAGGCCAGGTCAGGTCAGGTCAGGTCAGGTCAGGTTAGGTCAGGTTAGGTCAGGTTAGGTTAGGTTAGGTTAGGTTAGGTTAGGTTAGGTTAGGTTAGGTTAGGTTAGGTTAGGTTAGGTTAGGTTAGGTTAGGTTAGCTAAGGTTAGCTTAGGTTAGCTTAGGTTAGTTTAGGTTTGTTATGTTGGGTTAGGTTAGGTTAGGTTAGGTTAGGTTAGGTTAGGTTAGGTTAGGTAGGTTAGGTTAGGTTAGGTTAGGTTAGGTTAGGTTAGGTTAGGTTAGGTTAGGTTAGGTTAGGATAGGTTAGGATAGGTTACGTTAGGTTAGGTTAGATTAGGTTAGATTAGGTTAGGTTAGGTTACGTTAGGTTAGGTTAGGTTAGTTTAGGTTAGGTTAGGTTAGGTTAGGTTAGGTTAGGTTAGGTTAGGTTAGGTTAGGTTAGGATAGGTTACGTTAGGTTAGGTTAGGTTAGGTTAGGTTAGGTTAGGTAAGGTAAGGTAAGGTAAGGTAAGGTAAGGTTAGGTTAGGTTAGGTTAGGTTAGATTAGGTTAGGTTAGGTTAGGTTAGGTTAGGTTTGGTTACGTTAGGATAGGTTAGGTTAGGTTAGGTTTGTTAGGTTTGTTAGGTTAGTTTAGGTTAGGTTAGGTTAGGTTAGGTTAGGTTAGGTTAGGTTAGGTTAGGTTAAGTTAGGTTAGGTTAGGTTAGGTTAGGTTAGGTTAGGTTAGGTTAGGTTAGGTTAGGTTAGGTTACGTTAGTGTTATAACTGAGTCCAACCCCCCTCGTCCCACCGCTAATTGGTATCTACCCCCCACCCCCTTCCTGTCCCACACCTGAACTGGGACAGCGTGTACTTCCCCTCCCCACCCCCGTGTCCCACACCTGAACTGGGACACAATGCATCAGTCCCATCTAGCATTTGCAGGCGCCCGTCCCTCCCCCTCGCTGGAATGCCGGGGTCATGCAGGGGTTAAGGACCCAGGGTCAAGCTTGGGCCAGAAAGATAGGACAGTTGAACGTTAGGCATTCTAGGATGTAGTTGTGTTTTTATGTTTTGTAATGTGTGATAGGGATTACCCCTAAGGCTGGTCACTATGAATGAACTCGTTCTGCTTTCTTAGACCATAATAGGACTATCAGTTAGAGTGTAGTTTGATTATCTATTTAATTAAAGTTGTTCAGCTGAAATTGTGTTAGTGTCTTCTTCAACAATCAAGTAATCTACAGTGTCTAATTCACCACGCAACTGTTTAATCTCTCACTGCAGTCATCACCACCATTATTATTTACCAACCATACAGATGACTACATAACAGATAGGTTAGGTTAGGTTAGGTTAGGTTAGGTTAGGTTAGGTTAGGTTAGGTTTGGTTAGGTTAAGTTAGGTTAGGTTAGGTTAGGTTAGGTTAGGTTAGGTTAGGTCAGGTTAGGTTAGGTTAGGTTAGGTTAGGTTAGGTTAGGTTAGGTTAGGTTAAGTTAGGTTAAGTTAGGTTAGGTTAGGTTAGGTAAAAAATATTGCGAAATTACAACCAAATTATATGCTATTTCTAACCTTTATAGAGAAAATAACATTTTGATGTATACTATTTGTTTTTGTCTTTGTGCTTTTTTCCATCCAGAAAGAGTAACAAATAACAGGGGTGTTGCGTTGTATGCTTTTTTTGTGTGTGTCTGGGGCTAAATTGTCAGGATCTCGACTTCAGCTTTCATGTTTATCTGTCACATTTTGAAGTTGCTGCCCCTATACCGATCTTTTAAGTAAATTACTTCCTTTTTTAGTTACTGTAGCGGGTTTAGTTTTCTAAAATAAGTTGCTTGCCTTATGTTCAAACTAAACAAAATACATGTAATCTGCTTCACCAACACGTAAAAGCCGTGCATTTGTAAAATTGGATTTAATGGGTGATAGTCAAAAACAGGTAGAGACACTTCCATTAAACATAAACTATTTTCATGTCACAGATTGTTGCTGCAGACAAATAACCAAGCTACACGATATATTTTGACTATTGATCTATTGAGTCGCCACAACGGGCCTTCAAATTATGAATATAATTTGTTAACATTTGTAGCTGAATAAAAATAGCAACTGGGACGGCCAGGAGCACTTCACCTCTCACACAAACGCTTGAGTTCGGGTTCCGGTCCATAATACAATCCACCACCACCACTTCAAGTGTACTTGTCTCGCGTTATGGAAAGTAAAGTCGACTGAGATCACACTTAAAACACTTTTTAAAAATCTTAACAGTCGGTGATAGTTAACATTACAGTATGTGTCATGGGCCCGTGTACCTTATGTTCAGATTACTTTGGAAAGAAACATTTGTAAACATTTCTAGACATTTGTAAACTCAGCTATTGAGTGAGCCAATGGAGTCCCGAGTCGATACTCGGACTGTTGCAAACGATGGAAAATTATAAAAAGAACGATTGATGACCACTTATAGTGCAATAAAAAAAAGTTTCACAATTTAAGAGAGAAAAAAAATGTGATGTTTGCTTTTAGGTTTCCGTTTGTGTTTATGTTTGTGTTGGCTTTTGCGTTTTTGTTTGCATTTGTGTTTGCATTTGTGTTGGCGTTTGTGTTTGCGTTTGCGTTGCGTTTCTGTTTATGTTTCCGTTTGTGTTGGCGTTTGTGTTTGTGTTAATGTTAGTGTTTGCGTTTCGTTTATGTTTGCGTTTGCTTTTTTATTTGCTTTTGTGTTTGCGTTGCGTTTGTGTTTCCGTTTTTTCTCTGTGTTTGGGTTTGCGTTAATGTTATGTTTATGTTTGTTTTTGTGTTTATGTTTTGTTTTTGGTTGATTGTGGTTAGGGTTCATGAAAAAAGTAATATATTTCCTAAACCCGGGCAAAGCTTACTAAACAAACAAATCATGATCCTTTACAAATCCGTTTTTTTACAGAGGTCAGTGGAGGGCCTGGCCGGGTCTGCTAGTACTTTATAAAGAAAAGTTTAATCAATTCTTGAAAAAATTAGACAGCCATCAATTAAGTCAAATTTGATGTCGGATAACATTGTCATCGGGTCTTGACCCACAAGCCAAGTTTGAAACGATTGTTTTATTTAGAAACGGTCGAAATTACGCTTGCCAGTTTCGATCCATGACAACAAATAGACAGATAGACAAACAGTCAGAGCAAGCAAGTTAAATATAAATTTGTAACATCAAAAAAATAAGATTTAAGTCCTTGTGTATAAATATTTACATTAATGAAAGTTTATAAAAAGTATCTTTTTATGAATTTGCAAATATATTTTATTCTGAGTACGAAATATTTTCTTTCTACAACAGCACCGTTTCGAAATATTTGAATAGTTCAATTTTTTTTGTAAGTGAATTTACTTAAAATATAACGAAATTTGTTTATTTTTTTATATTGTATTTAAACTAATTATGCTGAAATTTTTATTGATATAATTCATTTTCAAAACATTAAAATAATCTAAAAATATAAGAGTTTTAGCCGGCAGAGTGGGATAGCGCGCGATTTCTGTTCCGAAATTCTTGGGTTTTGTAATGTAAAAATATGCATTACATTGCTATGTAGTACGTGTTGAATAACCTTCCCTAGTAACATATACAATACAGTACAACACTGCAATTCGCTAATACAACAGGAAGAGGATAGAAGAATGTTTAAACTTTATTGATTTAATGTTATATGAGGTAGAATAACATCTATAAGTAAAATCTCATTTAATTGAAGTCCGAAGGGGTTAGTACTCGTTCAATAAATGTTGAATGATATAAGATGCAGTCGTTTATGAAGATTTATTATCAAATTATACACCGAATGGATCGGTTTTTGTGTTTTATATTATGTGCGCCAACATTTTCTTATGTAATAAAAATATTCCTGTCCTGATTTTTTTTGTTACGTCCGTTAGGCACCGTACTTTCCGGCTGTGTGTACCAAGTCCCCAATGTGAGCAAATATTACCTCATTAAGATGACAGCTGATCAAGTCAAGTTTGGGGCATACATGTACGCCACCAACAACGTCTCTTCCTTTTGTCACCCCTTGGGTATCGCTGATGTTCTAAAACCGTTGACTTACAGGGTAAATTTTATTTGATGATAAATATTTAAATATTGACTAATCACCAACGATTTTTTTACCATGTTTTAATTGTTAAATGCACAGAAAGCTTAGATATTTAATTTAAAATATTTAAAATTTTAAAAATATTTAAAATATTTAAACTTTTCATATTAAAGATATGTGTGGTCCAGTTGTATAGCTCTTGACTGTTAGCTCAAAGTTCGAACTCTGGGCCTTATAACGTGTCACGTCCTCTCAGCTCTGATG